GTGGTATGTGGTGAGTGCCATGTCTGTTCTTGCATCACCACAAGGGTGTTGGAATGTGGGGCGGTCACTGTTGGTGTGGGGTGGATATTGGCCACCGTGGCTGCCAACACTTCAGTCGTGTGGCATAGTGAGACTGTGTGTCCCCTGTTGTCAGGAGAGGGTCCAGAGCCTGGAGGCGGAGCTGGAGACGGTCAGCCACAGTAAGATGCTGCTGGAGAAGGAGCTGCAGGAGGTCATTTCTGTGACCAGCCAGGAGCTTGGGGAGTACCGAGAGAAGGTGCAGAGACTTGAGAGTGAGGTACTTGCTGCTCGTCTGGGGCTGGGGACCCTGCGGGGATGAGTGAAAGGAAGGGGCTCTGTGAGCAGAGGACCTGTTGATGGCCTCGGCCGCACTGCCTTCTGGCAGTACCGTCTGGCAGCCTGCGTGTCTCAGGTCAGCACTTAGGCGAGCGGTGTCTCCAGCGCTCACATGGGAGTGGACAGCACGGTGGCTGCCCTCCTTTTGGTCTCATGTTCTGGCTACAAGTGGCTGCCTGGACATGTGCTTCCCTCTGTGTCTCCCGCCTGTGGGCACTCTGCGGACACAGCCTAGACTCCAGCCCCCTGGCCACAACGGAGGGAGTGTGGGAGACAAGGGAAGCACCAGCTGTGGCTGCAGCCTTGGGGTCACAGGGTGTAGGTACGCAGCCTGCAGGTAGTGTTGTCACGTGCGCTGCAGAACTGTAACCACTCTTCTCATGGTTCGCTCTGATTGGTTTCACCTTCAGGAAGCCAGAGGTGCTCAGAGGAAGCTGCGCTCCCTGGAGGAGTCCAATACCAAGCTGACTCTGGAGCTGGAACACGAGCGAGGGAAGCTGACGGGCCTCGGGCAGTCTAACGCCGCGTTGCGCGAACACAACCACATCTTAGAGACAGCCTTAGCCAAGAGAGAGGCCGACCTGGTCCGCCTCAACCTGCAGGTATCCAGACTTGCCCCCAGGACCCCTGTGTGCGGCACTGGAATTCTCTAGAATCAGTCTCCATAATCAACTGTGAGCGGACAAGGCAGCAGAAGCCCCTGTTGGTGGGGCAGTAGGGTCCCACCCCGGACATCTGGCCACTGTGTTGAGGAGGGGTTGACATTCTGAGTATCTAGGTGACCCTCTGTACAGTGGGCTCAGGCCACATTCATTGAACACAGTCACCCTGTGTAAGGACCATTTCCCAAGACCATCTGGCACTGGGGATCAGATCACTCGAGAGAGTATGCAGCCTCTGTCAGAGGAGCTGCCGACCCCACGGTGTGGGCAGCCCGGCTGGCTGGAGCCCAGCCCTGGGTTCTGTGGGCAGTTTGGAAATGTCCTCATAGCCCTGTGGCCTCTCTGGTCTGCTCTCATGTCGACCTCAGGTTCAGTGGGCAGTTTGAAAATGTTCCCGTAGCCCCAAGCCCTCCCAGGTCTGCCCTCGCATCAGCCTCGGGTTCTGTGGACAGTGTGGAAACATCCCCATAGCCCTGCAGCCTCCCAGGTCTGCTCTCATGGCCGTGTTCTCCAGAGCGGCTCCCGGCTTCCCTGCAGCCCCGTGGGGCCCAGACAGTGCCTCCCACACCTGCTCCCATACCCAGGCGTTTCTGACTTCTCCTTGCTGCCACATGGTCTAGGTGCAGGCGGTTCTGCAGCGCAAAGAGGAGGAGGACCGCCAGATGAAGCAGCTTGTGCAGGCCCTGCACACGGCGCTCACCAAGGAGAAGGCCAGAGTCAGCGGCCTCAAGGAGCAGGTGTGTGGCGGCGAACTCCTAGTGTTAGGTACAAACCGAGGGGTACCTTTTAGCCCTCCGCTCTGCAGGATGGGTCCCTTCCTGGGCTTCCTGGGAAGGAGGAAGGACTCTTGATCATGTCTGGAGGTGAGAGCCGCTGTGCACAGCCTCCTGATAGCAGAGGCCTGGTTGATGTGGCTGCTGGGAAGGGTGGCTTACATGCAGAGTGAGGTGCGTGGAGTAAGTCCAACAGGTGCCACCTCAGAATACAAACAGGGAGACTGGAGGTAGGTTTTTCATCTTCTGTGGACGCCTTTAGTGGTCTGCCTGGTGCTTCCGTCTCAGCTAACTTGGCAGACAGATCCGCTGCCGAGACCATGCCCACCTCTGAAGTGGACCTCAGCCCGCTGTGCACCCAGAACACACCTGGCTTGTATCTTCCTCCTCTGTCAGGGCTTGAGCTTCAAGAAGACAAGGAACTGGGTCGCCTGTCTCCGTGCTTGACACGTAGTGGGTGGTCAGCACGTGCTTGCCCTGTGTTAGTGTGTGTGTATGTCTATGATGAGTGTGCGCACATGTGGAGTGTTTGTCTGTTTACATGCTTGTATACCAGCACCCAGACCGACTGTTGCTGAATCCATTCCAACCCATCTCCGCTTCCATGAGGTTTCTGAGGTTGTGTGTATCTCAGGGAGGGTACTGCCCCCATGTCTTCCAGTGGAGCGCTTAGTGGGTTCCAACTCCCAACCTTCCCTTTAACAGTGCCCCACATGACCCACGTCCCTGTCCAGACACAGGACCCGGAGTATGCAGATGGGGCTGCCTGCTGTGCTGTGTCTGACAGGGCAGACAGTACTTTTCCCTTTAAGCTCCATTTTGAATTTTTTACATGTCTTAATTACTTTTAAAATTTAAAACTTGCAACCTGAAACTACAGCTGTTAGGGAGCTCTGCGGACCTAGTTTGGTGCCCGAAGGTAGTGGCTCTCTGGCAGTTTGAACCCACTGGACAAAGATGAGCGATTGCCTCCTGTGTAATTTACAGCCTTTAAAGATCCACTCAAGGGCCAGCGATGAGTTGGTTCCAACTTGATGGCAGTAGTTGAGTTAGTCATTATGGCCTAAATTTTACTGCATTCTTTACAAATTCTGTTATATTAGAGATGAAAACAGAGAGAGATTAGGAAAATTGTAACTGAGAAGGTCAGGGGAAATGCGTACATGTGACTTTGATTTCGTCTTTATTTTTTTTTAAATTTTTTTCTTAATTTTTATTGTATTATTTTTACGTGTACTGTCAAATCAGATCTGACTGGTACAGGAGGAGATTGCCCCCTCCTTCTTCAGCAGAGCATCTGGTGGATTTGAATCTGGGATTGCAGTGCACGTCTTTTATTTTTTTTAAGGCAGTAATGACAAATGATGTTGTTATGTGCTGTCGAGTTGCTTACAAATCATAGCAACCCTATGTAAACAGTTCTGCACCTTGCTCTATCATGTGCCAGCCTTACTCTCTTTGACACACCTGCCTCCATTACCCCAGTCACTGAGTCAGTCTATCTTATCAAGGGTTTTCCTCTGCTGCACTGTCCCTCCACCCTCCAAGCATGACATCCCTCTCCAACGACCAGTCCCTCCTTGCGTAATGCCCAAAGTATGTCAGACAGAGCTTCAGAATCCTTGCCTCCAAGGGGCAGCCTGCTTTCACCCTCTCTAGGACAAATCTGTTTGTTTTCCTAGCAGTCCACAGTATATTTAGTACTCTTCTCCAGCACCACAGCTCAAAGGCATCTATTCTCACCCTGTCATCACTAGTCATTGTATTTCTCTATAACGCATTTAGGATTGTTGCCCTGATTCAAACATAGTACAAGCTAGTAAGGAGTTCCTGAAAGCGTGAAGATCAGAGGACGGGGACGACAACCACTGTTCGTACATGGGCAGTATTTTTCCAGACATCTCCCAGAGACTTTTCCCCTCACTGATCTATAAGAATTGGCGAGCAGACGAGCTCTGGTGGCCTTGTGGCAAGAAGCTGCACTGCAATTCCAAAAGTACACGTTTCAAATCCAGCAGATTCTCTGCTGGAGAAGGAGGGACAATCTCCTCCTATACCAGTCAGATCTGATTTGATGGTGTGTACACACAAACACACACACACAATTGGTGGTGCTCAGTCTTTTCCACGTGTGTTACTGGTTATAGGGTTTTCTGCTTGTTTTAGTGTGACCGCAGCCCATACTTGATTCAGGGAACATTTGTGCCGCATTTGTCTGAAGGGTGCCCCCAGGGAGGCCATACTTCTTCAGGCTGATGGAAGGACAGGGACAGTGCTGCCACAGGCTGATAGAGGGATAGGGCAGTGCTGTGGCTGCCGCGTGGCTCGTGCCCGTGGGGCATTCTCACTGCCAAGCAGTCAGCAGTTTTTGTGACGATTCTTTTTTGTTCTCTTCTTTAGATATTAAAAATTTCAAATTGATCCAGTTTCTTTTTTACAACTACGGACTTTGTATAATCCTTTACTTTCTTCCAGTACAAAGGTTGTTTTTTTCTGTTGCCCTTAGTTCTTCATTGAAATAAATGCACCTACTGCCATCTTTTTTAAGTTTTATTTTTAAATAAATGCTTGTTGATGCAAATAGACTAGGAAACAGTTCTTAGAAAGGAATAGGGAAGATGTTGCTTTATGCTAAGAATTTGTTTGTCTTCTTGTAATCCTTAAAAAAAAATCTCGTGAGCAGCCATGTGATTGACAAGCTACATGAAGTTTGGAAAATTCAGGCAGGGGATGACTCCATGGGGCATAACAGAGGGTAGAAGAGTCGATCTTTTTACTGCAGCATTTAGAAGACGCAGAAGGTAGATATGTCTAGAGACAAAAACCTATTTAGACAGAGAAAATGGTGAATAAACTTGCTCATTCAATGCATTTCCATTCTCAACCTGTGGTGAACACTGTTAGGGACTTAAACCCTCTGTAAGGGTACTTAATTAAGGTTTCCGTAAGCGATCTGATAAACTTTTCAAGAAACCATTAAGCGTGGCTACAGCGCTTTGGGGAAAAATTGAAGGGGGGGGTCAGGGTAGTAGTGGTTGGCACTGGCCGCCACTCCAGGGGTCCCGTCTGTGCTCCGCATAACCCTATTCCCTCCTCCTAGGTTTCTGCAGTCAAGGCCGAATCGGGACACAACCGTCGCCACTTCAAGGCCGCGGCCTTAGAGCTGAGCGAGGTGAAGAAGGAGCTGCAGGCCAAGGAACAGCTGGTGCAGAAGCTGCAGGCGGAGGCTGAGGACCTGCAGTGCGTGTGGGCGGGCAGAGGGGCATGGGCACGCGAGGTGGACAGGGATGTTGGGTGGACTGGTGTGTGGCCCGGGCAGATGTGGACTTAGCAGTGCACGCTGGGTGGATGGACAGGCTGGGTGGACTGGTGTGCGGGCTGGACAGGTATGGACTCACCGTGCACATGCTGGGTGGATGGGCTTGCTAGGTGGACGGGCATGGCGGGCGGATAGGCATGCAGGCTGGGCAGGGGTAAGCTCACTGTGCACCCTAAGTGGGCAGGCACACTGGGTGGATGGGCATGCGGGTGGACAGATGTGTGGGCTGAGCTGGGCTGGGCTGACCATACACATGATGGGTGGATGGGCTGCTGGGTGGACGAGGATGTGGGCATCACCATTGGGCCGCACTGGTCTGCAGCCCTGCATGTTTGGGAACATTAAAAAGGCTGTGGAGGCAAATTTGGAAAGTAGTGTGACTAACCCCCGTCTCCAGAAGTATGTGTGGCATGATGTTGCAGACTGAGCCCATCTCTGTTCCATCCACTGTTTCTCATTTCTAGCTTGCTGGTCCTTTACTGGGACCTTTTTTTAATTTTTACTGTATTATTTTTACGTGTACCGTCAAATCATATCTGACTGGTACAGGAGGAGATTGCCCCCTCCTTCCCCAGCAGAGCATCTGGTGGATTTGAATCGTGTAGCTCGGGGATTGCAGTGCAGTGTCTTGCCACTAGGCCACTAGAGATCCCTTACTGGGACCTTTTCACAGGAAGAGGTGCAGTGTGAGTGTCACAGTAGTCAGCCTGAGACCCCGCTGGTCTGTGGTGTCAGAATCATGGGGACACAGGGCTGAGACCAGTGTTGATGTGCAGGCAGAGGGGCACCCAGTACCTATCTGCCCAGATGCCCCCCAGTGTTGACTAGCCCCATGGGGCTCTGGAGCCAAATCCTGGCCACCACTTGCCACTTGGTCTTGAAGGAGTGACCTCCTCCTCTGTGTGTAGCAAGGTTAATGAAGCATCGTTTCAGAGAGGGTCCTGTGGGGGTTAGTGGAGGCCCTAGTGCTGTCCACTGGAAGCAGGGTCCTATTCGGATGAGCAGTAGAGACACCCCCTGGCACCGTGTTCATTCTGCCTGGTGTCTTGCACAGGCGGCAGGAGGGGAAGCACTCTGAGGAGGTGGCGCAGTTCCAGGAGGAGTTGGCTGAGGCCCGGGTGCAGCTCCAGCTCCTGCAGAAGCAGCTGGACGAGCAGCAGAGCAGACAGCCCACAGGAAACCAAGAGGTAACCCACCAACCAGCACACAGCTCTGCCCAGTCACCTTTAGTGGTTTGATGTCCGGAGTGGTCTTCAAAGATAGTTCTGTCACCATAAGCAGAAAATGACTTAAGAGAAGTTTTCTAGTGCAGAAAGGGCACTTGGAAATGCTTCTGGTCATGTGTCTTTCCCCCCAGATGGAAAACCTCAAGTGGGAGCTGGATCAGAAGGAACGAGAAGTCCGGTCCCTGGAGCAGCAGCTGGACTCCACCCAGCAGCAGAGCCAGAGAGAAGTGGAAGGGATGCAGCAGTTCCTGCAGGTGCTCGAATGTGCGGCCCCCAGAGCCTTCCCATTAGTTCTTTGTTACCGAGTGGTCCGTGGCCAGGCAGCACTGGCACTGGTCACTCTGCCAAGAGTTCGCCTTTCCACCCACATACCCACATTTTAACAAGATCCCAGAATTGAGAGGATGGGGAGATTGTAAACAAATGGCTAGGCTACTTGGATTGGCCAGTGCTCTGTCTTAGACACAGTTTTGCTGCTTCTAACAGCTGTTCTTGGCATTTAGACAGATAACGTCGGGGTTCATTGTAGGACGTGAGCATGAGAATGGTGGAGGCGCCTTGACAGAGGCTCCGGAAGGTGGGGGAGGATGTTGCCGGCATGGATGTGCCTCCAGGCGCTGGCTGCTGGAGAAGGTTCATGCCAGAGAGCAGATACCATATTTTGTCCTGTAAGGCTCAGCACTACCTTTGAGTCTCAGTGAACCATTTTTGACTTTCAGTCCAATACCAGAGCTACTGTTGTTACAAGGTGCCAGCAAGTCAGTTCTGACCCCCAGCGATTGTAGGTACAACAGAAGCGAACCTCACCTGCTCCTGTGCCAGCCTCCCCGTCTCTGCTGTGCTAACCTGTTGTTGAGGTCACAGTAACACTGTAACCATGGCCACTCCACCCTTCTTTCTTCCAAGATTTGTTTGCTCTCTTTGAAGACATTAGCAGTGTATGTACCGTCTTTTAACTGTTGCTTTTCTTCTGTAACTGAAATGTCTGTGGCTTCACTTTATTTAGAATATCAAATCTGAGCTGGAGATGGTGAGGGAAGATCTGCACATGACCCAGAAAGATAAGTTTATGCTTCAAGCGAAAATGTCAGAACTGAAGAACAACATGAAGATTGTGCTTCAGCAAAACCAGCAGCTGAAGCTGGACCTGAAACGCAGCTCAGCCAAGAAGGTGGGTTGACCATGTCTCTCCTGAGTGAATTCACACACACAGTGGATTTGTTTAGGTGGGAGATTTTCTGGTTGTTCAGATGTGAGTGGATTCATTTAACCAGCACGTACTGAGCAGCCCTTGTGTGCCAGACATGGGTCATGATCAGGGGACCTTCTGCTTGGACAGCTGGCCAGATGAGTTCTGTTGGGTGTGGACAGGACAGTTCATTCTTTCATAAATTCAAACAGCATTTTGTTGTTCTTTATCACCGTGGATGGGCAGTGATGGTCTGTTTGTGGGATAGCAAGCTGAAGACAGGCTAGCTAGTGTCTGGGCGGCCTCTGCAAGAGGTGCTTATGGGCACCCCACCCCCACCGCTCTGTTTGTGGGAGAGGGAGGCTGATGAGCTGGAAGTTCTACCAAGTGAATTTCTTGGAAAATCTAAAATCAAGACCCACTTACCCCACAGAAAACTCCTTGTGTATGTCAGGTATCATCCTTTAGAGGTCCCAGAACACCCTAACATGGAAACTATTGCAGAGTCAGAGAATCTAGCTTCTCAGAGGAGCCCCCAGTCGAAACACAAAAACTTGTGTGGGTGCTTGGTTATGTGCATTAGAAATCCAGTCCCTTGCTGATCGCCAGCTCCTATGGAGACACAGATGGCTAGAATGAGGACCTGCTGTCCAGGTTGGGGAGGTACCAGCCGGCAGGAGATGGTCAGAGAATGAGACTGCTAATGCTGTGCTTTCAAACAGAGGAAGGAACTGAAGGGTGAGGCCAGCCCCTCCAACCCTGTGACGCCGGTCAAGGTTCCCGACTGCCCGGTCCCCGCCTCACTACTGGAAGAGCTGCTCAGACCCCCGCCTGCTGTGAGCAAGGAGCCCCTGAAGAACTTGAATAGCTGTCTCCAGCAACTCAAGTATGTGTCTCCTGTCCCGGTTTGTCCTAACAAGCCAAGGCCAATAGGGTGCTTGGGCAGATCCCCGGTCAGGACTGGCTTCCCAGCCATGGTGTCCAAGTCCTGCCCTGTCATCCTTGAGGTTCAGGCTTCTGACCTACCTGGGCAGTTGCTGATGATGGGGTGGCCTTTATGGGCAGTAAGGGAGGCATCTTGTCAGACTCTGTGAGTGAACTCGTGTGACACTGACCTCGAGGGGCTTCCCACAGCAGTGACTCCCCAGTGTCAATTTGTGGTTCCTGATGGAAGCATAAACAGTGTGCCTGAGCCACAAGCCTGCCTGTGTCTGTGCCCTGCATGGAGAACTAAGCAAAGAGCCTCTGAACTCAGAGCCCACTGGCTTTTCTGTCCCTCAAGGCCTCTCAAATGTTAGGGAATGCGCTGCATTCTGATTTGGGCTACCCCCAGACAAATCTGGATGAGCTCTCAAGCCTGAATAGTAAGGAATTGCACTGCCAACACAAAGGTTTGCACTTCAAATCCACCAGCTGCTTTGCAGGAGAAAGACAGGCAGTCAACTCCCACAAAACCTGATGGAGGGTCAGTTATGGGTCAGTTCTGACTCTCTGGTACACAACTACAACGGACAAACCTGGAGACCTGATTATACTTCTGTCAGAAAGCTTTCAGCATCTGTGTCTAGCTCTAATCTTGAGTGTTCTCCCTCTGTGTTCTCTCTCCTCCAGGCAGGAGATGGACAGCCTGCAGCGCCAGATGGAGGCGCACACCATCACCGTGCATGAATCACTGTCCTCATGGACTCAGGTTGAAGACCACCTTGGGGATCTGGCCCCTCCCTGTCCAGCCCCTGCCGGAGATCACGCCAACTCCAAGGGGGACGCAGAGAAACACAATCCGAGCTGTGTGGCCACAGAAGTATCGGAACAGTGACCTCTGGAAATCCTCTCACTTCCAAGCTTTTTGTAACTATGTAAAGGAAGATTCTTTTATCAACACTATTTATTTTATTGTGTCCTGTTTTTCTAAGAGGTGAACCTTTCGGTTTTGTTTTTGCTGTAAATGAAGAGAGGGACAGACTGAGAGGCAAGGCTGGAAAGGAGTCGGTCTGCAGACCAAAATTAGCATCTCTTCAGAGATGAGTACTGTTTGATGCCTTGTTTAGACTGACGTGTGGTATTTCTCAGTGTCTGAGGGTGAAGTGAGGGTGGAAGCTGCCCCCAGTAGTCATTCCTAGAATCGTTTGAGGACACGTCGCCAGGGGAGGCACCTGGGTTCCTCACTTTCCTGCCTGATTCCACAAGCGCGTTACTTCATGCAGAAATGAATCTTTATTTTGCACCTTTGTTTTTTTTTCAATTTTATTTTGTTTGAAAATAGCCATCCCACTCTAGGATGCATATATAAATACAGAAAATCATTATCTAATCTTTAAAAAAATATATATGCTTATACTATTGGAGAATGATCGCAGTTGTCTTTTTATTCATTGCTTTTTGAGAATTTTTTTTAGGTCAGGACATAATGTGCATGTCGGATTTAGGGATGTCAGAAAACTATTTTTAAAAATTATTTTATTTACTGCATCTTCTAAAACCAAATATTCTTGCACAGAGAGGGTTGTTGTTTGTTCTCATTTCTTTTTGAGTCTCTTTTTCCCCACTGTCCTGCTTTTCCCAAATTGCTTAAGCTCTGAGTAATCAGATGATCTCTCCTCAGCCAGTCCACCTCTGAGGAGCAGGCCTGGTTCTTCCTGAGGCCTGCTGGCCACCAGCAAGCACCCACGGTTCTCAGAGCGCAGAGGCTTTCAGAGGCTGCTCCAAGCTCTGAGGAGAGTAGAGGCAAGGAAGGAAAGCGGGAAGGCTCAGGGTGGGTAGAGGAGAGGACAAGAGGAGCAACAAAGGTCAGGAGTTCCCTGTAGGAACCTGACGTGCTCCCTGATCCACTCTCATTCGTAGATTGCTGAGCAAGGGACCAAGGCTTCCTTGTCTTCTCATATCTGCGCCTGTTAACCAGGGGCTGATGTAGTCAGGCAGAGACAAGCTGAGAACTGAGCTGCTTTGATTTTGACCACAATCAAAAGGGTAAGAAGGCCCCTTACTGGATTGTCTAGGTAGGGGCATTGCTGCTGTCTGCAAGAGCTTGACCAGCACCATGAAGTGGGTGGTCTCCCAGAGGCTCACCAGTAGGATGCCTTATTTTAAAACCAGTCATGCCATGTACATGCCATTTTCTGTGTACATTTTCTCCACCTACCATGTTTCAACCCTAAAAACTACTGTGAGGCTTGAAGTTTGTAAAGTTTTCCCCCCTAGTTTGCTAAAAAAAAAAATAATAAGATATTTATTGTTATAGAGAAGCCAGAGAACGGGTCCCTGTGTCTTCTACCAATGGACCAGTCTGAAGGTGAAACACCTCTGCTCCATCCAGACGTGATCCTCTTGGTAATATTGCTGTGTCTATTTTGTGGAGAAAACAGTATTGTATTTTTAAGGTGTCTGTGTTCTCTTGTAATATAGCGTTAGAAGGTTAACTGAAAGGATCAGTAGCATTAATTACAAAGATGTTTCATATTTAAAAAATTCCTAGCAAGGATTAGAATTTCTGAAATATGTCATTTGTAAAGGGTTGAGCTCAAAATACTTGAAAACTTCACTATAAATATATCTTACTCTTATCTTAAATTTTTTTTTTGCTAAATGTTCCTGTACCATTAGAGAAGAAAAATGGTCTTGTCTATTTTTATTTATTTTGGCTATATGTTCCTGTTTCTATTTTAAAACCAAGAAATAACACTTAAGACTCCTTCTCCAGCAGAGCTGCTTTCTCATGTGCTGATGGTCTTCAAGTGAGCAATGTAAGCATGTCCACTTTTCTTACGGAGGATGAGCTAATTCTGAATCTGTTCGAGTCAAAGCAAATGTGTGGTTCATCCTTCCTCTTTCATTTAGTTAACTTACATGTGCACAGCTTTAGAAACAGCACTTCCTCTTTGTTCCTGTTATCATTGTATGGTGACATCACCAGATGTTCCCATCTTTGATTCAGTGACTACTTGGCCTTGGTTTTGATCTCAACTCTATTTACTGCCATTGGGTGCTGGGCTGTTCCTACTTACTGTACGGTAATGACTTGTGTTTATTCCTCCTTCATCGTGTACTCTGGGGTTCCAGATCGAGGCCTCTTCAGTTAAAGCTGACACTGCCTTTAACCTTAGGAAGTCACCTTACGGAGAAAGCTGGGGTTTTTATTTGCCTGCTGTTGACTTGTACTCTACTGGTTCTTCTACCTCCCAGAGCTAGCTTCCATGTCAATAAAGTTTGAAAGACTGTTCTTGTGGGCAGAAATGGGGAATCCTGTAATTTACTCATGGAAAACAACAATCAAAATCTGAAGTATCACATGACAAAAATAGGTTCCCCAATGCATCATATTTGTACATGTTAAATACAAACACTGGATATGATGCTCTTATCATGGGTAATGTTGGCTTGGACACATCCTGATGTCACTTGATTTTCATACTTTGAAAAAAAATTCCCCACAATTATTGCAATTGTGGTTATCATTGGTTTTTCATGGTACATGCCAGGTAAATGACATGGATCTTATAGATCCAGCCTTCATTCTCTCCTTTGGAAGACGTGACATACTGTCCTTAATAGGCAGTGGCACTGACTCTGACCATGGTTGGTACAGACTGGGGTGAACCCTGGCACTGCTTTAGGAAGCTCTTCGTGTCTGTTTCAGAGCTTCTCCTGGAGAGAGATTACAGAAGCCATGGCCTGCCGTCACCATGACACATACTCCTAGTTCCATGAGTGCTTTTAATAAAAATCAAATGCCACATGTAAAGATTTCTAGGCACGAAAGTGACAACTGTATCTACAAAAGAAATATCCAGGCCTTCTTAAAAAGGGTGTTTGTGGCGTAAGTGATGCTGGAATGCAAAGACATTTGGGCCTACTCTGGACACGTATACAGACTCGAAGTGCCAAGCAAATCTCATCCTGGAGTGGTCTCAGGTTATAATATCCCTGAGGGGTAATGTTTTATAGAGGCTCTAGGAGATTCAGTAGTTTTGAGCCATTAACTCATTTCTATTAAAATTAAATTTTCTCATCGGAGGGAGTCCTCAGGTTCTAACTTCCAGGGGAAAAGGTGGTACCTGTACAACTATCTTTAAAAAGCATGGTGATTTTCTAAAACTTTATGCGTGCTTAAAAATTCCATAAACTTTGTGCAATAAACTATTTTTTGGTAAAGATTTTATACTTCATTGAGGGGCGTTTCCATTTTAATATTTAAATATGTTTTGTCAAATGATTTTTCTTTTTAAATCTCATATTGTTAAATACTCTATTGAAAAACGTTCCTTTCAAAAAGAATTTTACTGTTATGCCAAAGTTCCTGGTGAGTTGTGAAGTTAACTTGTTATTGTTGCTTCTGATTACTATAGAACCCTGGCAGAAATTCACCACTCTCCCCTGTGTAGCCCAAAAGTGCAAGTCCAAGAGGAGGGAAGTGTCTACCAGAATGGATGCGTACTCTAAGGGAACCAAGAGGAAAGTATGATCTCTGTTTACTTGTACACCTGACACCTCCTGGTGCTCCCTGTAACAGTTGGTAATACTCATTGGTAAAAGTTGATTGTTGATTTTTAGATCTCCATTTTGTGACTTCCAATTCCTCTTGCCTTTTCCATTTTTCACTTTATTTTTTATCAGAAGAGCTAGCCACGTGTAGAGGTTTTCCTATTAAATGGTAAATTAATGACTAGAGTAATAAATATATACAGAAGAAGAGAAAGAAATTGGTGAGCTCTGGTGGCCTAGTGGCAAGAAGCTGCACTGCAATCCCAGAAGTGTGCAGTTCAAATCCACCAGATGCTCTGCTGAAGAAGGAAGAACAATCTCCTCCTGTACCAATCAAATCCGATTTGACAGTACACATATAACAAATAATAATAAAAAAATTAAAAAAAGAAAGAAATGACCACAGAATGATTCAGCTGCTCCATGGGAGAAAGGTGGCCAGTTTCCTCTCATGCAATTTACAGCATATGGAAACCTGCTGGAAGGTCAGCCCCGAGTCGGTTCTGACTCTGCAACACATCCCACCACCACACAAGTATCTGTACACTCATAGATGAATGTGCATTTTTACACCTCCACACTAATAGACTCTAGAGTCAGGCAGTACTTGTACACATCAAAACAAAAAATCGTTGATCCCCTCTGCTGTCAACAAAGTATTTAGATTGTAATGCTGTCTGTCTTTTATAGCCATTAGAGGCTTATGTGTATATGAACTTTTTATTTTTACCTATAAAATTGCATAAACACTTGCAAATGTTGATGAATTTCTTTCTTATGCTGAGCCCACATTATCAGATCAGCTTATAGCTACCTACTTTACTGCCTGGCATAGATCCGCTGATAGAAGAGGTTTGTGCATTATCTCTGCCATCTTATTTGCTCTATAAAGATTCTATTTGTGAGACAATTCCTATCTTCTTGATAAGAATTCTCAGCAGTCAGGAACTTCTAGAATCAGAAGCATTCATTGCAGTTCTCTCAGCTTGCCTTTATACACATTTCCTTTTAGCAATATCCTGGGGAAAGTCTACATAGAAAAAGGCCTGGAAACAATAGGAGATATTAAACTGTGTTGCTGTCTTTGGTGTTCTCTGCAGTGATTCAGCTCACATGGGCGAGCCATAATTAATCAGTCTACAGACTTACTTTTGGAGGTCACAGGTTTTAAAATCAATGTGAGCATTTCTAAACCCTGCCCGCAGCTCTGGGGTGGGCTGAAATTGCCCCTTCTGGAGTTGTGAAGACAGATGACTTAACTTGGCTTTCACGGTCAGAAGGGGTATACATTGGGTAATTCCTTATAGATAAAAGGCACTTGGGCTTTCATTGGGCTGTTGATGCGTTTGGACTACTCTGCTGATACTAGCAGCCTTTTGTCTTCCTTGATCATCATTTGCATTCTAAGGAGGGTCCTCTGGTGCTGCAGTCTACATTCTTCAATGCTAAAGAAAGTTAGGAGAAGCTGGTGGGTAACCTGCCATGCAGAGTTGTGTGTTTTGAAGATGGACTGCATGAGGCCAGTCAGTACCTGTGGTTTCTCAGTGTGGTATGTATGATGTTTCCAATTTAACAAATCAGTTATAGTAATGGCTGATATGTGAGCATTCTCCAGCCTTATAGGGTTTCTCCATTTCTCCCTGTAGTGGCTGGTCCTATAACTTCACGGAGGAGCATCTAAATTGCTGGATGTGCCTCACTGCCTAGTATCTGATGGAGTGGTAAAGTCTGTGTCTGCCCAGTATCTGACGGAGTGGTAAAGTCTGTGTTTGCGGCAGTAGACTTGGGCCAGGCAAAGTGTATGGTGGTGGCAGTGATTCTACAGGTTCCTCTGGGAAAGTGGCTAAGCTCGGCAAATGGAAGGCCAAGGTTGGAGTTTTTGGATCAGTAAAATCTTACTTTCCTAACCATACCAGGTCTAACCAGGTGTTTATGTAAGGAAATTGATCGAAGTGTCGCAGCTCTCCAATAACCATACCCCAAATGTACTAGACCAAGTCATGGTCCCTACTTCCCTCTGGTGGTCATTCCATCTCCCAGGGTTTATTTGAATCCATAATCCCCTGTATATGCCTTTTTAAAATTCTTCAACATCAGATCCAGATTTTACTCTGACTCCCACCTATTTGAAATTTTCATTGCGTATGGCATCAGAAGAGTCCTGAAGCTACACAGGCATCCCCATGGCCACACTCCTGAAGTTTTAAGATTTATCTTAGTGAAGGTGTATCCGTATAAAGCCCAGGATCCAGATTCCATGATGTGCATCATGGAGTCACACAGACACTCACTAACCACTCAGAGGTTATTACAGCCCCTCCCTTAAATTCCTTGAACCAACTCTAGTTTCTCGCATAATCCTAATGCAAGTGGTGGGGGCCTATCACATACGCCTTCCACTCAGGCGGGCTACCTTACTATAATTTAGTGGGCCTTAGCATTCCTTAGAGCTGTAGGTACTGGCGGTGTTCCTCCAGGACAGACCCAGCTGACCGGCCAGCACGGATGCCCCAATGACCAAACCTGTGATTGATTGGAGTGCACTTTTTTAATTATTTTGTGTGTGTGTGTACACCAGAAATGTTGCAGGATTCCATCCTCCTATCCAGAAATCCCAAGCCAAAGAGCAACGTTCTAGCTCTGTTGTGACTGAAGGAAGGCTTTAATAGGCAGATGAGCTCTGACAGACACCACAGCCTCTCAGTGGTCAGGCTCTACAAAAGCAAAGGGTCCTCTCTTTTATCTAGGCTTACAAAGGTATAGGTTGATGTTTCCTTCCCACTGGCTGATTTTCTGTACTGTATGATGGGTACACTGAGTGCCTTGGGCAAGAGGCCACTGGCAAACTTTCATTTCCTTAACATTTTAAAAGCAAAGCAGCCCTTACTAAGTTTACTTCTGCCTCATTTATATTTGTCCTACCAACTTGGGCCAAAGGCTTTATAACATGGAGTGTATTCCCAGGCTTCTCCTTGGAGGCAAGGATTCTGAGGCTTCCTCTGACGTACTCTGGACTTGTTGCAAGGACGGACCAGTCCTTGCAGAGGGACGTCATGCTTGGGAGGGTGGAGGGACAGACAGCGCAGGAGGGGAAGGCCCTCGATGAGATGAACTGATTCAGTGACTGGGGTAATCGGGATGGGTGTGTCGGAGATGGTGAGCCTGACAACAGAACAGAGTTTAGGGCTCTTGTAGGCAGGGTCACTATGAGTCACAGGCGACTTGAGGGCACATAACAGACCAACTGTGCATCTCCCTTTTGTGTGTTATGGGAATTGTTAAGTTAGTGAACTTAAGGAAGAAATCGGAGAGAAAGCTTAAAGCAGCCTTATTCAAGGGGGGGATGGGGAGGGTCTTCCGGGTGAAGTTCCTCGTTCTGGAGATGCAGAATGGGGAAGTCAGGCTGTGAATTTGTCTGGGAGGGTCATTCCACTCTAGATTTACGATCCACCTGCTAGCTCAGCCAGGCAGGCAAGGCCCTCAGCCTTTGAATTCTGAATGCTTCATTCTTCTCTTTGGCCCCCTTTGTCCAGACTTAACAGAAATATCCTGATCTTGGGGACGCAAAACAAATCGCCATCTCAGCCGGGAGCCCTAGAACCCTAGTTCTGGACGCGGCCCCGCAGTGCATCCGGTCACTGCTAGAACAGTGACGAGGCCCTTTCGCCTTCCAATACTGGGGGGCGCGGAGCCTCTCACCCGCTCCCCCCAGGCGCCCTGCCCAACCTTGTGGGCTCCTCTCTCCCACCACTGCGGCCCCGGACTGCAGCGAGCCGCCAACTCGAACCCTGACCACTGCGTCCCCACACTCGTCTGCTGTTTGCTTAGCGAGTTTTACCTCGGGGATACGAAGAGAGCACGAGGCCAAGGAGGACAGGCACACGCAGGAGACTCAAGCCAACCCCCAGGCGCCACTCTGCGGGCGACTCGTCACGGAGCGCCAGCTGCTGCCCCGCCGCCTCAGGCCCCCGTCTCCGCCCCGCGCCGGGCTGCCCGCGCCGCCTGCCGCCCTTCGCGCTCTCCCACCCCGCACAGCCCGGGTCCGCGTCCGCTGCTCCTGCCCTTGTCGAGTCTCCGGGGGCTCCAGGAGCGGAGCTGGCCCCGCGTGGACGGCCCTGGCGTGGCTCCGGCCGCTCTCGTGGCGCCTTCGCGTCAGGCAGTGAGGCGGGCAGCCCGGGCGCGGGGCCGGGCGGGCACAGGGCCCTGACTTCCGGGGAGCGGCGGCGGCGGCGGCCGGTGTTGAGGCGATGCTGTGGCCTAGGCTGGCGGCCGCCGAGTGGACGGCGCTGGCCTGGGAGCTGCTGGGCGCCTCCGTGCTGCTGATCGCGGTGCGCTGGCTAGTGAGGCGGCTGGAGAAGCGGCCGAGGGGTCTGAGTCGGAGCGAGGCCTCCGCCTCCCCGCCCCGCGCCGTCCCGGCCCCGACTCCAGACCCCGGTAAGACCCGGCGCCTTCGCGGCTTGAGTCCTCCCTGCTCGCCTCGCTTAGCGGCTCTCCCGGCCGGTGCGTTCCTGCGTCCGCAGCCACGGTGGACGACAGAGGGGAAGAGCGGGCGGGGGTGTGTCGGGACGGTGTCAGCTAGGGCCCGGGAGGTAGAATGGACGGGGAAGACCGTGACGGAACCCACGGGCCTTAACCGGGCGAGAGACCTGGCCGCAGAGGGTTCGCCTCGGCCGCAGTCGTGCAGGGAAGAGGCGACCGGAGGTCCAGCGAGGCCGTTACTGCCCCGAGGGCCTGGGGTGGGGTGTCGCTCGTTCGCGGCCCGTACCTGCCGTGGGATCCAGCGTTGGCACCTTGACTGTCCTGGAGAACTGAGAACTTACTGTGACTCAGAACAGTGTGTGTGCGTTCGTGTTTACAGCAACTTTATTTGCAATAATAAAACCAGTGTTTTGCATGTGGAAATATCTGCTCCTCATTCCTTTAGGAACAGGTAGACTTGCATAACATGCTACATTAAGAAAGGAGTTCTCAGGGCTGCCAACCTTACAGGAGAGCTTGAGTAGTAGTATATTTCTCCTACATAAGAAACAAAAACCAAACCAAACCATAGTATTAATGCAAGTGGCCCTGGAGGGGAGACAGGTGCAGCCGTGGTGCAGCCACGCTGTGTATCCAGCAGGGAGTCTGGAAGAACTGTTGATACACTCAGCAGTTTGGAAATTCATACTCGGGGCCATTATTATGCGTGCAGATAAGTTTTCCAGAATTACTTCGTTTTTCTGGTTTCTCTTGTGTGTGTCTGTGTCTGTTTCTGTGTGTTATTCATATGGAATGCTGTTATATTCATTTTTTTTAATACCCAATTTTGGGGGTCTCCTCCACCCTTATTAGTGTTGTTTATTTGTTATTGTTGTTGTTGTGTTTTTTCCCCATTATTATTATTAATTTTAATGGAAATTTTGAGATATTTTGGATGTCCATTCATTCATTGTTGCACTTTTCTCCCTCCCCACCTCCTCCCCTCCAGTTCGTTCTTCTCTTTGAAAAGTAAAAGAAAAATTCTTTCATCGTTATACAATTCCTCCCCCAAAGTCCACTCCACTATGCAGCCTTCGTTCTGGACACCTATCATGACAATAATACCTAATCATATATATACCTGTTGTTGTTGATCGCCATCCAGTTGAGCACGCCTCATAGCAACCCTGTGAACAAAAGGCCTGAAGCCTGGCTAAACCACAATGCAATGTCCCTTCCCTCCCTAAAGACCCTTACTATAAAACCTGCCCTAATCCACTTTGTTGTTATGTGCCATCTAGTGGCTTGCAACTCATAGAGACCCTATGTACAAGAGCTCTAAATGCCTTTAGGGCAGCAATATTTCCCTGGTCTGTCCCTCTGCCTGTTTCTCTCTCTGTAGATGAATCACACCCAGGAGACCCCTTAATAATGCTTTAGCTTCCTTTAAAAAAAAAAAAACACCCAAAACGAAACTGGGGCCTGAAGCGTTTCTATAACTATCAGCATTTATTGACATTCATAGAGTTTCCAGAGGCAGGTGGTTTAGGAAGTGGAGGCTACTCCTGCTTCCAATTGACATATTTCTAATAGCCCAAATGGGCTCCCAAGTCAGGTAAACATACAGTTCTACTTAGAAGTGCCACGTTCTTCCCCGCCCCACCATCACTTCTCTCCTACTTGTATCTTCTTGTTCCTTCTATTGACTTTTCATCCGCTGCTGCCTCTGTGGATATTGACCCTCTGCCCATATCCGTGCTTAGAGGAGCAGGGACCACTGCAGGTGTGGAGTTCCCAGGGCTCTAGTTCCAGACCACAACAAGAAAGGGGGTGTCAGGAGCTCTGGTGGCAAGAAGCAGTGCTGCAATCCTGAATGTGTGTGGTTCAAATGCACCAGACGCTTTAAAAAAAAAAGGCGCGTTCTGGTGGCTTAATGGCAAGAAGCTGCACTGCAATCCCAGAGGTTGGTGGTTCGAATCCATCAGATGCTCTGCTTGAGAAGGAGGGGCACTCCTGTACCAGTCAGATCCTATTTGACAGTTCACATAAACACAAAAATAATAAAAATTAAAAGGGGATGTCAAAATAAGGCAAGTCACACATACTTTTTTGGTGTCCCAGTGCACGTGGAAGCAAAGTAGACACTGCTGTAACTAATGTAGTCTGGAGCATACAGCGTAGGGTGTTGTGCTGCTAACCAGACGGTTGACTCTCTAGCTGTCTTGGGAAGAAAAAGCTGAATCGTCCCTCCCGTAAAGATTTACAGACTCTGAAATCCAGGGAAGTTTGCTGCGAGTCAGAATGTCCTCGGTAGTCTGTTTAAAAGCACCCTGGTGATGAAGTGCCTAACCTGTTGGGCTGCTAACCAAAAAGATCAACAGTTTAAATCCACAAACCACTCTCAGGAGCAAAATAGACAGTCTCCTCCCATTTTATTTTATTTGCATGAAAGTTTACATTTACTGGGTTTTCATTCATTCATTCATTTTTGTCTTATAACATTAGTTACAGTTGATTCATTTGATTACAGTGTCTAAGCAATCTTTCTCATCACTCAACTTGTTAATTTCCACTCCCCTCTCCTTCCTTCCTATCCCTTTTAACTGTCCCGTGTTGATTCTATGTAGTGTGTAAATTTTTCCTTCTTTCCGTCTTTACAGTCAAAATCTTCCTTCACAACCCAATTGAGGCCAACTATAAATCGGATTTAACAATGGTAGCTTTGGTAGACTGTTTAAAATGTGCAGTAGAATTATAATAAAAAATCTGAAGTATTATGAGAATCCCCAGAATGTGACACAGACATGAAGTGAGAACAAACGTACTCTTGGAAAAATGGTACGGTAGACTTAAAGCAGGCTTGCCACAAATTTTCCATTTCTAAAACAAAACAAAAAAACCCATGCACATCCATGTTTATCACGGCTTTGTTCACAGTAGCGAGGAGTTGGAAACAACCTAAGTGCCCATCAACAAACGAATGGATAGAGAAGCTGTGGTATATTCACACAATGGAATACTA